ACTCGAGCTGATACGATCTTTTGTCTCCCGTTTTGAACATTCCTTGTAACCCAAGATCGTGTTTATAATTTGGCTTTTAGCGCATTCTTTCATCTACAATAGAATTGCAGATAATGCATGTCGTCAGTGGATAAACATGCAAGACACATAAATCCGTAAGCAAAATACACAAATGGATACGTAAATAAACTTGTGTACACAAGCAGAAACACAATATCCCGCAAAATTGGATTCATTTTTTTCTGGAGGGACAGGGATTTTGAATCATAAACGAACCCAGTCTCTCGTGTCATTTCGAATTGCTAATTATCATTACGCGAATTATGAGCAATTAAAGAAATGGTAATTAAGAAAGGGGGGGGGGCAGTTTACGGTCGAAATTAAGTGCATAAATTGCCCCTTTAGAAGTAATTAGCGACCCGGTTTTGTTTCGCGGCGGGAACATTGGCCATTAGGCTGGTTTTGGTTGCGATAATAATAATATTTCAAATTTTTGGGCGGTTGGCGAGGAATTAAACGTTACATTTAACGGCCTAAGATCGTCTCATAGGGGGAGGGGAAGGAGGGAGGTGGGGGAGGGGGAGGGGAAGGAGGGAGGTCGGGTGGAGGGGAGGGGGAGGGCCTTGTGGGTGATGAACAGCGTGCTTGCGGTCAGGAATCTCTTTATTGTTCTCTCGCTCTCTCTCTTCTTTCTTTTTGTCTCTATTTTTTCTAGTTCTCTCTCGTTCCCTCTCTCATTCGTCATATCTCTCTCCCTCTCTCGTCCTCTCTCTTTTTTCTCGTTCTCTATATTTTTCTTGTTCTCTCTCCCTTTTTCTCGTTCGCTCTCCCTTTTTCTCGTTCTCTCTCTCATTCGTCTTCTCTCTCCCTCTCTCATTCGTGTTCTCTCTCCCTCTCTCATTCGTCTTCTCTCTCTCTCTCTCTCTCTCATTCGTCTTCTCTCTCTCTCTCTCTCTCTCTCTCTCTCTTCTCTCTCTCTCTCTCTCTCTCTCTCTCTCTCTCTCTCTCTCTCTCTCTCTCTCTCCCTCCCTCCCTCCCTCTGCCTCAGTCCCTCCCTCTCTCTATCTATCTATCTTTATCGTATTCCCATTCCTTCGTCCCTTTTTTCAATTTTATTTTTACCTTTTTAATCGTTCTCCGCTTTTCTCTACTTCTTGCTTTGCCCCCCCCCCCTTCTCACTCTCGTTTTTCATTACATACATAAACTTAAAATGGGCGATGGCGTCCTACATCAACCCTCCCTTGCCCTCCCCTCCCCTCCCCCCTCTTTTCTTCTCCCTTCCCCTCCCCCCCTCCCCCTTTTTATCAGCCCCTCAACCCAGACCACTTCCGGTCGTTAGCCTGAGGACGACCTTGAAAAGCCTTCCTCGCGTACCTTCTGCCCCTTCGCCGTTTGCTGATTCTCGTTCGCCTCCTCTCTTTTCTTCTTCTTGTTCTTTTCCTCTTTTACTGCTAATTGTATTTGTTGTTGTTCTTCACTTTCTCTTCCTCCTCTATCTCCTCCTCCTTGTTCTTCTCCCCCTCCTCTTCTTTCTCTTCCTCTTTCTCCTCCTTTTCCCCCTCTTCCTCCTCATCCTTTTCCTCCTCCTTCCTTCCCCTCTTCCTCCTCATTCTCTTTCTTCTCCTCTTTGTCCCCCTCCTCCTCATTCTTTTTCTTCTTCTTTTCCTTCTTTTCCTCCCCCTCCCCCTCCTCCCCCCTACCCCCCACCCATTTATTAGTTCTAACAGCCGAACGTGAATTCCAGCTCATTATGCAAAGAATTTCAGGGGAGAAGGATTCATTGTGTGAGAATTTCCGTCGTTTCTCAGACGTTTTTTTTTTTTTTTTTTTTAATTAGAGAAAAAGTGGTTATTTATGTTACTTTATTTCTCCGGTTGTGTAATGCGTGTTGTGGAATTTTATTTGTTGTAGGATCTATCTATCTATCTATCTTTCTCCATCTCTCTCCCTCTCTCTCCCTCCCTCCCTCCCTCCCTCCCTCCCTCCCTCCCTCTCTCCCTCTCTCTTTCTCCATCTCTCTCTCTCTTTTTCCATCTCTCTCTCTCTCTTTCTCCATCTCTCTTTCTCTCTCTCTCTCTCTCTCTCTCTCTCTCTCTCTCTCTCTCTCTCTCTCTCTCTCTCTCCTTCTCCTTCTCCTCCCTCATTCTCTCCCTTAAGCACTCTCCAGATATACGCCTCCTTTTAACCACACTCCCTCATGAGTTTACGCACATGGATCTCAGATATCCCTCACACTAGGCCTCCTGCGGGTCACGTGGTCCCCAAATTGCCACGTGAGGACACCGAGAACACCTGAGTAAGGTCATGTACGTGTAGTCCACGTGCAAGGTCAATCACGCGACCTTATTTTCCTCCGCTGAGGGTCAGGAGGGGAAGGGAAGGCCCCGCGCCGCTTGATGTTTCAAGGTCATTGGTGTGCGCGGGCACTCGCTCTCTCTCTCCCTTGCTGAACTTTCTCCCCAAGGTCAGGGTGGGGGGCGGATGGGTACTCGATCTCTCTCTGTCTTTCTCTTTTTTTCTTTTTTCTTTCTTCTTTCTCTTTCTCTTTTTTCTGCTTTGTAATGTCAGCTGATGCGCCGTACTGCTCTCTCTCTCTCTCTCTCTCTCTCTCTCTCTCTCTCTCTCTCTCTCTCTCTCTCTCTCTCTCTCCCTCTCCCCCCTCTTCTTCCCATTTGATCCTCTTTTCCCCTTCTTTGTCACCCCGATCGACCTCCTCCTCCTCTCTCCCCCTTCCTCTGTTATTATGCGTCACCTGCTTTGCTTTATTCACTTGTTTATGTAAGTGCGAACGAAATAATTTTTTAAATGGTTCTTATGGTTATTTCGGTTCTGTTTTATCTTTTTACATATAAATACAAGCACACACAC